CCCCCCCGGTCTCTCTTTCAATTTCTTCGTTTCTCTCCATCGAATTGCACTTAGAAAGGAGTGGATAGGTGGAAGGTAGGGGGAGGGGTTTTCAACCGCAGCCGTACAGAAACATAACTCGTTAACTTGACAGAGTCAGTTTGCTGAAGGCACACCCGGTCCGCTTAAGCCAAGTCATTTAACAATTGTTGGACCGCTCGCCCGTGTTCCCTCCTGTGTATTGTATATGTGTTGCAATAGCTGAAATACGTGCCAAAAGACCGATTTAAGTGCGGTGTCGGGGGCGATAATGTTAATTCAAGACCACACTGCTTCTGAAAAGACTTACCGCATAGCGACAAAACCAAACTGAACTGAACCACTGCCACGTAAAGTAAGGGAGTGAACTACGACTTTGTGCACGAATAAAAAGAAAAAATCTACAACAGCAAATCTATTTAGCTGTATGAGGACGATAATGCATATCCACTCTTTACAGCATGCTCTATATCCGCTTTACAACCATTATTACCCCAGCAGACCCTAGAACACTCAGAAATATTCTCGGCTGCCACGGAAGCATACCGTGCAAGCAGCGGATTGCACGCGCTCCAACACTAACAAACGGCCACGATCTTTCGCTGTCTATAACCGGGTACCCATTCTCGCCTGGGTGAAGTGAGGAACATTCGTGTCAAGTGCCTTTCCCAAGGACACAAGATAACTCAGAAGCAATAAAAGCAACAAGTTAGGTAGTCAGACGGGGTGACTTACTGTGCAGAGTTCATGAAAACGCTTGCTCTCCTACACAAGAAGAAATCATAATAGATCGAATGAGTCGTTACTACTAAACCTGTTTCATTAAAAAAAATAAAAATAGAAGTGTCACTTAAAACAGGTGAACATAATCATTCTATTTCTCAAAGTGAGTGTAAAATCAAAATTTAGATAGGTAATAAAGGATAAATCACCACGTACTCTCGGTATCTTACCGATACCTATGAATTTAGTCAGCTCTTTTAAAAATAAGTATTGAAGTATACAATTTCGAGACCAAAAAGGGCAAAACAACATGTTAATGATACCTATAAATTCAGACTGCTTTTTCTTTAAAGAAGTATTGTTGTATACAATTGCGAGATCAAAAAGGCAAGATATAAAAAAAACCCATAGCTAAGTGAACAGGACCTGATCGGGATATGATCTGTTTTACTGTGAAGAAGCAGCCAGACGCCAGAAGGGGCTTGCAACTTCCAAAAAACACGCGGGAGTGGAACTCATGAGAAAACGGGACAGGTGTGATGATGAGCTAGACAAACTGGGTTTGGTCAAATCGTTTTGGATGGAGAAAATTCGTCAAATTTTTGAGCTCCTAGAAATCTTCCCGTAAGTAAGTGAGTAAGTGAATAAGTGAGTAAGTGAGGGAATGGGTAAGCAAGTAAGTAAGTAAGTAAGTAAGTAAGTAAGTAAGTAAGTAAGTAAGTAAGTAAGTAAGTAAGTAAGTCAGTCAGTCAGTCAGTCAGTCAGTCA